TCACTCAAGATATTTACTTTAACGTAAAATTTTGGCCGTTACATACTTTTGCAATATATTGAAGTGGGTTCTGAAAATCTAGTCGTGTAGTTTCGATATCTTGATCATTCTCTGTATCTTGATCACTCTCTATATCCTGATTACTCTCTGTATCTTGATCACTCTCTACAATTTGGTTATCATCTAGTTCCTGTTCTATAATTTGTTTGCTGCATTGTGCTTCCTCATGGATGCGTATCCATTCCTTAAATGTTTCCATCAAAATCTTTGAATCATTTAAATCATCATAATTAACTACTTCTACATATTTACGGGCAAGCCCAAGCAATGTTCCTTTAATCGATTGTTTATGGCCAATTGCTTTTGCTGCAGCTTGTACAGGAGCTTCAATAAGCATGATATTCCACGAATCAGCAACATCCGGAAAAGAAGGTAAAGATGGTGTTAAACTGTTCATTTCTAATGAATTTCTTCTAAGAAATGGCTCATCAACAACTACCACGTCCATAAATTCGTCTTTGTACCAACGTCTTAGAATGAGAGAAATGTGAAAATAAGCCTTTTCAGACTGTAAAAGAACACAAAACCAATGATGGCAAATCGCTCCACTATTGAATAATAAAATGCATGTGCATAAATAAAATCTATTTTTTAGCAGCACTACATTCTGTCCAATATTTGATTTATGCTCGATTGATTGAACTTCCCAACCCTCAGCAACTAAGGAATGATTGCTCCCCTCACGAAGTTTATCAAAACGTATCTGACGAAAGTTATACTCAAATTCAATCGGCCCATTATCAACAACCTCCAATGTTAAATTATATGGATCCTCAAAATTAACCTTTTTGCTATGATACATCACCGCCTCATTCATTTGATCAATATGTAACTGTAAAATTTTGGCCGTTACATACTTTTGCAATATATTGTATATTTCAGGAAAAAGTTGTCTAGGGACACTTAGTGTTATATATGATGTTGTCTTTTCACGCCAAGCCACAAACCGACTAGCAAATTGTTCTTCTGCAACATGTGATTCAATTTGGTTAAACAGGATGTGAAGTTGAGTTCTTTTATTTACAGTCTGTTTAATTACACCGTTTATTGATTCAGATCATTGTGTAGATATTATCCCTGCCGTAAAAACTTGACCTGTAAATGCTTTTGCCCAGGTTGTTTTACGTGAATCAAGCTGTCTAAGTAGGTATTCAGTTGATTCTGGAAAATCGATCATAAGTTGTTTCCAGTATTTCTCAAATATTTCTTTACATAAAATGTTTCGGCAACGATAAAATGCTTTGATAAAATTTGAATAACGATCACCAAGTAGCTTTGCAAGCTGCTTTTCAATGTTACGCCCAATGTGCCAGATACAATGGAGTAGGTAGGATCAGGATATATTTCGGGAACAACACTTTCAAGACCTGGATCTGCATCAATCATAAAAGCGCTGGGCTGAACTCTTGTAGCCTCAATTGTTTGCTGTAAAACCCATCTATAACTTTCACTTGTTTCATTAGGCAATATAGCCTGTGCAACAATTCATGATTTGAAATTATTATCTACAACAGCAAAAATGCACAATGAGAGTTTATAGACATTGGTTGCTGCTGTATTGTTGTTTAAAATAATGTCTGCATAACGTCGCCAAAGTTCGCGTTGTTCAGGGGTCATATAGAATACACCTTGTAATCTGTTTGTTTCTGGATCAATTAACGATTGAACATTCCAATCAGGATTCTTGGTACGCTCTTTTTCAAAGTGCTGGAAAAGCTTTGCAGTATCACACCCCTGTATATCATGAGTACGACGAAACTTATATACATAGTTTTTCACATCATAATCCACAATTGTGGCTTCAGGAAATAACACACAGAGTAACTGAACCTGAGATGGAACATCAATGTCACAAAGGACATAGTTTTCAATAAGCTCCTTCATTTCTGTGGTAAGTTTCCGATAGCTAGTAGCAAAGTTAGCGTTTTCAGAAACCAACATATGGTTGTGTTCAAGCTTCATTGATGTCAACTTAATTATAGTTTCATTATCAGGGCCCTTACTCTTGCATGCATTCACTAGAAAAGGACAACCAATTCTTTTTGAACCCTTATTTCTTTGCTTTTTAGGTGGAGCAGTTTTACGTGAGATATATTTACCAGACCGTTCACAATTCCAAGTATACTGGTGTGGATCAAGGCTATTATCTACCCGCTTTTTTTTTATCGCAAAGTTATTTTGATGTGTGTAATGTTCTAATATCTCTTGACATTCTTCCCAAGTTCCAAAGGCTTTTTCACAGTAAATTTCAATGCAGATTGGAGGTAGGTGTCCACATTGATAATTAGCAGTATTTTCTGAGGCATTATCAGATTCACTAACAACGTCAATGTCCTCTTCAAATTCAATACCAGGTCCATCTTCAGTATCTTTTTCACATTCAGTATCAGGTTCATCTTCAGTATCCTTTTCAAGTTCAATGCCAAGTTCACCTTCTATCTTCTTTTCAAATCCTAAATCACTATTGTTTTCAATTTTACCATATTTATTCTCAATTCTATCATATGAACTTTCATGTATTAATGGCAAAATGTTTTCTATACTAGCCAAGGGTCTTCGTGCTATTGAAAAAAAAAGTGCCAGAACAATGAATGATTTGTTGTGGGAAAAAATAAAATAAAATAGAATAAAGGGAACTGAAAAAGTTCTGTTTGCAAAAAAAAAAGTGGCTTATTTGAAACTTTTAGCTACCATGGCACTAATCTGTCATAAAAAAAAAAAAAAAAAAAAAATAAATAAAAAAATAAAAAAATAAAAAAAAATAAATAAAAAAAAAAAAAAAAAAAAAAAAAAAAAAAAAAAAAAAAAAAAAAAAAAA